TTCGATACACTGGGATATATTTATCACAAAACGTTAATCACTAGTGACTTGATTCCAGGACCGAACGTTGTCGATGCAGATTTGCTAGTGTTTTCTAAACTATTTGTGGGTGTCTAATACCTAGGTTTATACCATACTGTAACATTACGTGTTCACTTGTTCTGTTCTTTCACGCTGAAACGTAGGAGCACTAATTATTATACCTAACACTGCATGTGTGGAGGACTGCATTGTCGTCCTCCCTCACGTGGTTGACGCCGGATCGGGATAAAAAGGTCACAGAGAGAGAAAAAGTCACAGGAAAAAAAAAAGAGTCAAACCCTAATCTAACTTATGGGGCTATGTATATAAAAATGTGGGGTTTTTTTTCAGGGACTTCTGTTCCTAGCCCAAAATGTTGACTTATTTTCTGTAACGTTTCTACTGTGACTTTTTTTCTGGACACTGATGACGCCATGACACTCTTTCGTAATCACGTTAAAAATACTATTAAAATTCCTAGTAGGTTCATAGTAATTAATGGCACACTGCATTATTTTTATTAACTCTAATATTACATATCAATATATTCGTTTTAAGTATAATAGCGTTACAATGCTTATCCTTGGATAGCTACTAATAATGGGTAGGGCAAATATTTTTGTTTAAGTGGTTTGTGGTTTGAGAAATTACCTGCCAGTATGGGAAGTAGGCCTGCTGTAGTGTTCTACATATGTTCTTAAGACAGCATGTAATGTTGACCTTTGATAGCAATATTACTCATTTTTTTTTTTGTGGGAAGTGTTAATGCAAATTGTGAGTGGGAGTGTTGATTGCAAAATTTCCATACATATTTGTGGTAATATTGGTGATGAATACATATTTAAAAAATACTTTAAATCAGTATACAATTTAAAAAATACAATATATAACGCCATTTTGTGCACCTCGAATGGCCGAAACCTCTTTAGTTAAACATTCCTTTAGGGAAATTCTCAGCGCGTGTTTTAAATTAATTCTTTGTGTGTATTGGAGTCCTATTTAGCTTAAATGCATGAAGTACAGAAGGTGGAAGTAACGTTATATACATCGGGAAGTGTATGTTTCGGTTGTATATTACATGAG